TTTTTTGCTTTACTTCTAGACTAGTCTCTGAGACAAAATTATCTTAGCATTGTTGTGAAAATTAAAGAAAATAGCGGAAGATTGGATCTGCTGTTGGACTTGTGTAGCAAAATTTGCAAAATGTTTATGCTTATATATTTTGCGCTTACAAAGCAGATAAGCATGGTTAACAACAGAGCTTGTAACCCGGCATATAAATTATCTTGATGCATGGAACAGTCATAGATGGTTCCGTGGTTGCTCGTAGGCGTATTTTTCGTTTGAAAATTACGACTTGTTGGATGTGCATATGGTGTAATATTGGTTTTTTTCAACATTTTTCTGAGTAGTGCTGACTTGCTAAACCCTAGTTTTTATGCTGTATGTTCAGATCGGAGGCCCGGCTGGACCCGAACCTACACGGTACGGCGATTGGGAGCGCAAGGGACGTGTTAGCGATTTTTGATTTATCGATTATTGTTCCTAGACAGTTCTATAGTCTTTCTACATAATGTTATGTTTGTAGGCAGTTGTATAGAGTCTTTCCACATTGGATCAGATCCAGCTTAGTTCTTTGTTCAATTTGTTACTTGAGTTCCCAGCGGAAATAAACTTGTCCTACTCGCTTACCTTATCTACCACTCTTCGGTATTGTTCCGGTTGATAAATAGTATCTTGCTCTTTGGTCCTGCATGGTATATAACATGCAGACTTTCAGTAGCATGACAGCATTAGCGACAAATGTGGTTGACACACCAGAATCAGCTATTGAGTATGCTATCACTAATCCACGGATCTTGAATGTCTCTGAAATGCTTTCGCAACCTAATGTGCAGGTATGTGCGTTCTTGTGACATCTTCAATATCTCGTTTTCCATGTAGGCTCTCCAGCAATCAAACCCTACATTGTATAAAACGTTAGAAGTGTTCGCCTATGGGACTATCAAAGATCTTCCAGATGAGGTAACTTTTTTCTCAAATTTCATTATCCACTCGGCCCCAACCATGTGCTCTAGGTGAATTTGCCACCTGCAGCACTACGAAAACTTCAACAACTCTCACTGATCAGCTTAGCAGCTACTAGTACGTCGAATAGACAGCTTCCTTATGCGGAAGTTATGAAATAGTGAGTCAAAAAATTCTAATCAACATTGAATACTTTCATACAAGACCGATTTTAGCCTTGGTATTGCGTCCGTTCGTGAGCTTGAAGACGTTGTAATTGATGCGATTTATAATAAACTGATCAAAGCTCGCCTTGATTCGAAAGGACAGTTCATCGAAGTTGGTTTTCATGAGGACATGTGTAAATTCTCCAATCTTCAGGTTTTTCGTTGTTGTAAGAAAAAGTGAAGTAGAAATGTTAAGACTCCCAAAGCATCCCAGTAGGAAGCCAGATCAGTTTTCTTTCAAGTCAGGTCGATGACTGGGCGTCTCGCGACACTCCTGCAACTAATCTTCCATCCATAATAAGCACACTCTCGGAGTTTGCACGAAGTGCTACAGATGTTCGTCAGCAAACTTTAGAAGATGCTGACAGGTACTTATTTCTTGGAACATTTTCTATTTTTCATCTCTGAATTCTTTTTTGAGACGTGATGCTCAAGTGACTGCCGATCGTAAACGTGCTCAGCAAGTCGAGGCCGATTTAGCAGCAGCCAGAAAGGCATTGGATGAATCTGTGCTGGCAACGATGAACTCACATGACCCATCAACTTCTAGAGCAAAAGCATCCCGATCAGTGCGGCAGCGAGTTGGACAAACGACACCAGCTAGTAAATAATTTGTCAGAATGCCAAGCCATGCTGATGTTGCAAAAATTGGGTATATTCTCTAATACATGATGCATGCCACATATGGAAGTTTACAAATTCTTTGTGTTATTTTCACATCTATTGTGCAAAACTCACGAAGTTCTACATTTAATATATCTGTCCTTCAACCTACTGCCTGGTTACAATAAGCCTCATACCAATCCCAACTTTCTATTCGTAACTGGGCTAGATCAGCACCGAATACACGAAGGCCACTAATAATCTTTCATTGTGGAAAGAAA